CCTGGGCTAATCAGCAGTCGCCTGATGCCCTCAGGCCGGAGATTGCACCATCCCCCGCGCCCCGCCTCCCCGGGTCACCGCCCCCCACCCCCGAGCGCGCTCCGTCCCTGGCCTCTCCCATTCAGTCCGCCCTCTGAGCCCCGGCACCCTTCGCCTCGCCGGAGCACTAGAGGTATCTGGTCTGGACCCAGTGTCCCCTCTTCTGCCCAGTGCTCTGAGCTGGAGTGCAGACACTGGCCACCGACTCTCCCTATCCCCTTGGAAAAAAATATTTTGCTTTTCTGAGCCTCAGTTTCCCCATCTATGAAATGGGAAGAACATCCTTCCTTCTCAGGATGGTGCCAAAGAGAAAAGAGCAAACCGTGACTGTTTCCTAGGTGCGTTCCCAACTATACAGCACATTCTCGCCATTGCCATATTAACCATTAGGAGAACTCTGGGTGGGCGGGAAGCTCCTTTCTCCCCATTCTGCTGAGAGCCCGTCTGAGGCCCACCCAGCTACAGGAAAGCGGCCAAGGAGCTTAGCGAAGAGTTACAGACTTAAGAGCTGGCTCTGGGTGCAAAAGAACCAGTGTGGTTCCCTGGGGAGGCCTGAGGTCGGTGAGCTTCTGAGCATTCATTAGATAGAGGCAGTGCAGCCTAATGGTTAAGAGCAAAGCACCCTAGAGCCATCCTACCTAGGTGTGCCCCCCACCTCTGCTGCAATCCACTGTGCTGCCTCAGGAAAGTTACTTAAAATTCTGCCACAGCTTCCTTGTCCATAAATTTGGCTTGTAATACTATTCACTTCATAGGGTTGTTGTGAGTATTAAATAACTTAATGCATGTATGAGTGTGTGGCACAATGTAAGCGTGCAATTAATAGAGTGGAATCAATGGAGACTCAGAGAGGGGAAGGGTCTACAACAGGACTTGCACCCCAGGCCTGGGAGGTCTTCGTGCCACTTGCTGTTGAGTGAAACATCCCTTCACAACCCCAGGGCTCCAGCGCCTTCCTTGGAATCTCTTTCTTGTCTTACCTGAATTCACCAGTGTCAGAAAATAACTCCTCCAGGCAGAGGCCGGATGGGAGGCAGGGTGGAGTCACCTTTGTTTCCCTGGTTCCAAAACCTTAGGGATCAGCTAGCTCACCTGTGTCTCAGAGACTTCAGAGCACAACAAGGGATTCTGGGAACTCCTTTAACCCTGGCAGCTCCCCTGCTGAGGAGGAATGAATTAACTCATTTTCTACACCAGTACACCAAGACAGATCGGAATATCCCACAGCTGTAAGGGGCAAAGAAATGACTGCCCTCACAGACCCTATAAATCAGCAGACAGACACCATTATCAAGAAAATAAAATCAATAACCAAGATCATTTAAAATAGATAAGTGTCATGTATTTTCTTGAATAAAATAGATTTGTTCTCTGTCATGACTGAACATAGTAATTTTTGGTAGCACTCATCAAAGGGTGATGTTTAAACTAAGATCTTGAAAACACTTTGGTTTTTTTACTATTATTTATTTATTTATTTATTTTGGCAGCTGGCCAGTATAGAGATCCAAACCCGTGACTTTGATGTCTAAGATCTTAAGGAAGCGGTGATGGGTGCAAAGATGGGAGAGGAAGACAGAGAAAACAAAGTGCAAAGGCCCTGAGGCAGGAACATGAGGTACTTAAGGAACTGTGACATGGTCACTGTCATCTCCATTCTGTAGACCAGAGGAGTCAAGGTGAGGGGCTTACCCAAGACCACCCAGCTTGCTGTATGAGGCAGATTTGATATTTGAACCTAGGGTAACTGACTCCAGTGACCACACTGTCCTGGAACATTTCTCAATCTTTGCAACCCAGCAGCCTCCACACGGACTTGTGGGAATGGTCACTGGACCAGCATCCTGAGTATGGCCCCCAAATTTGGGGACCTTGTCACAGTCAGGGTTGTCAAATCCCAATTCTCTAGACTAGGACTTTCCAATAGAAACATAATGTGAGCCACATGTGTAATTTAAAATTTTTAGTGATGAGAATAGTAAAAAGAAACTGGTGAAATTAATTTTAATTATCTATTCTGTTTAATCCGATACATTCAGCATATTATTATCTCAGCAAATAATCAACAAAAAATTATTAATGATATCATTAAAAAAATTTTTCACACTAGTGTCTTCAAAATCTGGTGTGCATTTTACACTTAGATTGGACACAAATAGGCATGGAAGCTAAACTGGCAATGATTAAAGTGAAATATAGTCCTATCAAAACAATTAACTTGTATGTAATGGAAAAAAGTATTTTACTTGCTTCAGTTTTAAAAGTAAAATTCAATAAAATGAAAAATTCAGTTCCTCAGGCACAGTAGCCATGCTTTAGGTGTTCAATAGCCACATGTGGCAAATGGCTACCATACTATGCAGTACAACCCTAGACCAACAACTCCTGACACATGGTCCAGGGAGTATAGCAAAGAAGTAAAGAGTCCAGGCAGACAGGATCAGGACTCCTGGATCTACAAGACAGATGCCAAATAGCCTTGAGCCTCAGTTTCTGCATCTATAAAATGGGATTATTTATACCTCCCTTACATTGCATCATGAGGATTAAATGCACTGAAGCTTCTTCATGTCATAGTGAATCTACATTTCCTGGGTCCAAATCTTACCACTCAGAGTTTGCACAGGTTACTTAAGCTCTTTGTGCCTCGGTTTCCTCATTTGTAAAGTGGAAATAATACTAGTACCTACCTCACTGGTTTGTCATGAGAATTAAATGATAATATTTGTGAAGTTCCTGGAATATGAACGCTATATAAGCATTTGTTAAAAAGTGAAAAAATAAGGGGTGACCAACCTCCCAAAATTAAATGCATAAATGTGTCCTTTCTTGGAGAAATAGTCGGGCTTTCATGAATTCCCTTCTCTCCAGCCTCAGAACGTCTCTTACCCAGGTTTCTGAGCCCAGCAGGTGCGTTTCCATTTGCTGTGATTCTGATGAGCTGAGTCTCTGCCCCTCAGTGCTAGGGCAAGAAACTCAGAGAGAGGAGAGGATGTGGGAGTCCGTAGCAATGACAGGAGCCACACCTGCCTCTTTCCCTGCCACTTGGGTGTCCCTGACAGCCATATGCCTGAAATTTCACCTTCGATGTCCTTGAAGCTTTTCATCTTTATACATTCCCCCCACAAAAGTGAAATGATGCTTTAGAACCTCTGGTGCAATTCAAGGTCTAGCCGAAGCCACTGACCCTGTGAGATCGTGGGCATCACCTCCCTTTTGGGGGCTTTGGCTTTCTTATCTGTAAAATAGAAAGAGAGAGTTGGATTAGGTCAGTATTTTCTGAAATACAGGGTACTTCAAAAAGTTCATGGAGGGCCAGCCCGGTGGCGCACTCGGTAGAGTGCAGCGCTTGGGAGCGCGGTGGTGTTCCCGCCGAGGGTTCGGATCCCATATAGAGACCGGTCCGCTCACTGGTTGAGCGCGGTGCGGGCGCGACACCGAGGGTTGCGATCTCGTTACCAGTCACGAAAAAAGAGACAAAAAAAAAAAAGGGAAAAAAAAGAAAAAAAAAAGTTTGTGGAAAGATTCATATTATCTTTTTTTTCTTTTCTGCTTTTTTGGTTTTTGGTATTATCTTTTAATTCTATTTTTTCCATGAACTTTTTTTTTTTTTTTTTGTCTTTTGTCTTTTTTCCGTGTCCAGCAACGGATCGCAACCCTCAGTGTTGCTCCTGCGCCTCGCTCAGCCAGTGAGCGGGAACCGGTCTGTATGTGGGATCCGAACCCTCGGGCGGGAGCGCCGCCGCGCTTCCCAAGCGGTGCACTATCCAGTGCGCCACCGGGCCGGCCCTTCCATGAACTTTTTGAAGCCTGTCCCAAGCGGCGCACTATCCAGTGCGCCACCGGGCCGGCCCTTCCATGAACTTTTTGAAGCCTATTATGTGCAGCAATGGTGGGATTACAAAGGGTTTTAGGATCTCGAGACTCTGCATGAAATAGCATCGAATCATATTGTGACACATGCATTCCCTTTTGAGTTTCTTCCTGTTCCTCCAGTTATTCAGGAGAAAGTCTCATTTAACAGTTTCTATGTTTTTAACACCTCTCTCACTCAGGAAGAGAGAGCGGAGCTCAGCACAGAGCCTTCAACAAGAAGCAGGACTTAGCTAGAATTGAATAATCTTGTTTTGCTTTCCTTGTATTTAATTTTATGATTACCTCCTATTTATGGCAAATGATTTTTCACTGGAGGTCAGTGATTTAAAATTTCCATTTTAAATACATTTACTTAATTTTAAAAGAATAAACTGGTTGAAAGGAAACCATTATGGAACTAATCAATTTGGGGAAGGCTGAGGGTGATTCAAGAGTTGCAGCTCTGGGTCTGTGGACCCAAAAGGAGACTAT